CCTCACAACTGAATCCAACAACTTTTTGCTGTTGTTCACCAGGCTATTTTGACACAAGCTTGTCAAGGATATTAGTGTTGTCCATTGCAATAAGATAGACAATTTTGTTTGTGGATCTACACACTTTAGTTGCTTGATGAATTGAGCTTTGTTGTACTACTAGTWCTTACAGTGCAAAGGTGACAAATTGCATGTCCATCTCTGTAGCTACAAACAAACAACAAGTGTACCAATATTGGTACCACTTGGGTTCAAGTTATGATGCTTGGNCAAAGGTGACAAATTGCATGTCCATCTCTGTAGCTACAAACAAACAACAAGTGTACCAATATTGGTACCACTTGGGTTCAAGTTATGATGCTTGGCAACAATAAGAATGTCCCTGATTAGATTCTCACTCATTCCATTTAATTCATTTAGTAGCTCATCTATGGCCCCTTCTGTGTTGACTTGCCATACCCAATGATAAGCTTGATTGTACATATCACCACCAACTGCAGCAACACCATCGCTGTTATCAATACTATGACTCATTGGCACAGTTTCCAGCAACTGCCAGTGCTGTTCAACCTCATCACCAGCAGGGAGAAAATGTGATCTGCCAACAACACCTAGTTACTAGAGCAATCTTGTAAGCCTCTTGCCTGCCAGTATTGCTTGGTGTAATTTCCATCACCCTTGCTGCAATCATTGGATCTCACTGCTGTTGACAAAGTTAATGTGAACTTCCTCAATTTGAACTATTATGGGTTGGGCCACGCGTTTCCGGCTGAACCATGTGTACATTTTTAATGCTATGTATATGTATATGTACATGTACATGTATATCAGTAAACACAACTACTAGGACCTCCCAACTCCCCCATATGACTACAATCATGTTTAAACTGGCTTTTGATTCATGTGTTTTCTACTGTGCATTGATTTTGGGCTGTCTTTTTACCTTGTAATGACTCCTGGGATTAAAATTTGACTTGTAGGGCTACAGCGTGCACATGTGAGTGAAAGTATTTGGTTTCAAGACTGGTGGGATTCAAAAATTCAAGTAGTACTGAGCATGTGGATTTTGTATGAATTTAATTTTTTAGTCAAAACAGTCATTACAAGGAAAAATAAGGGCCTAAAATGTAAGACTGGTGCGTACATTTGGTGACTACATCTATACAATAGCAATAATTGTCCATTACTAGGATGGAAAACATTATTTATTTTGGCACTGATTTCACACAGCAACAAATTATTGTATAGAGTAGCCAACCAAAAAAGCACTGTAATTATTGCTAGCACCAGGACCACCTACTACTACTTCCCCGCCACACAACTGTAACCTCTTTTTTCATTGGCTTTTGATTCATATGCCTAGTATCAGCACTCTTAGGCAAATATTGGGAACCAAGATAGCTGTTCCTGGTTTGACCCTTAGGTAATTTTCTATGTGTTATTTGTACTGTGCATGGATTTTGGTTGCTCTTTTTCACATACAATGCCTTGTGTATAACAAAATTGAAGGCCACAACTCAAAAATTGGAGCTGACAATGTGTCCATTGAGAATGTACTACTAGTAGACATATGCATTGTGAGAACCAACCAGGAGAGCCTCAGATAACACTCATTAAATCAAATTCTGTATTCCAAATTAGGCACATGTGGCATGCCACAATTTAAGATCTATGATTCTATGTAGTTACATACTTATTCCATTATACTCAAAATCATAAAGTGTGTCAGCATAACTTCAATGTATAGTATGTGGATGACCCAATAGGTCATTCCTGTATACATTGAATCTATGTAATTGTTACATTTAATTTTCAGTGGTGGTGATCACATAAAAGTATGTTTTTCCTTCTTAAAATCAGAGATTTTTGGTAGTACTAGCAAGCTCTCTAATATAAAAAAGAGTATGCAGACACAAACTTTCTTGGAATCCTTGATTCAAGGCTTTTGAATCATGAAGAGCTTGGGGAGCCAAAAATGGAGAGCCCTGGATTGCGGGTGTAAAGAATAAAATTCCATATTCCAAATTAAGGACATGTTGTGTGCCATAACTCAATATCTMTGATTCTATGTAGTTACATACTTAATCATCCCTTGCACTCAAAAACATACAGTATGTCATCAAAGATTCAATGTTGAAGGGAATGGCCCAATAAGTGTCAATCATAACCTTTGTTCAGTTGCAAAGAGGCTGGGTTCCTTTCATTTTTTGGTGGGTCACCAAGCTAGATTTTTGTGCTCCTTGAATTGTTATTTTCCTACACTACGGTTTTTACTTAGATGACAGTTGTAGTTAGTGGCAGATCTGAAATGCAATTAGTTTTGAGCTAGACATAAATACAACTTAGTCTCCTTCTAGACCTTAACCAATAKCATAGTTTATATGTTGTGAGGATGGATCAGACGGTTGTCACGAAGTGGCATCGGTGTTGAGAGTATTGGCAAAGGRAATTGCTTCGACAGGTGTTGCGGCAATGGAAGATTCCTACCACCATCATTGATATTGTAGATATTTCTTTGTTTGTGATCCATCAACATCATCTCCTGATTTTGTYGTTGTAGTATTGGTTGGCAATGCGAATCATTGTTGTTATTGTTCAGGAACAAACTATCGGCTTCTTGTTGAAACAATTCGGGTTCTTTTACACAATCAGATTTCCCTCCGAAGACAATGTTCTCGACTGCAATGGTCCAACTGTCAACTTCTTTGCTTTCTTCTCCGTCGCGTACGGAATCAAATGCAATGGTCGGATTCAATACAGGTTCGTCGTCAAAAGCTTGAGCGATTCCAATATCTATGTCGTCGGAAACGCCTGATGTCAAACCCAATGTAACCTTCCCGGTAGGATTAGAGAGAACAACATTGTTCTTCGAGTTGTTAATAATAGTGATATTGTTGCATGTTGAATCGTTATGTGGTGTCCGAAAGGGAGTGGGCTCTAATTCGGGGTGAAACGCGAACTCTTTACAGATTTGCGTCTCCACGCTGCTGCTGTTCCCATTCGAATGAAATGTCGTAGTAGTCGTAGTGGTTGTCAGAGAAATGTCGAGGTCAAGCGCGCCAACGGAGGGATCAAAAGGTTTACCCTGCTGAAATATTTGATGTTTTTGTGGCTGAGAAGCAAWGGAAGATGAAGATGGCACCTGGGAGGGTAWTTGAGTCATCTTTCGAACTTCGCGGAACTGCTCTCGCTGATCTGCTTGGTAGTTTTGAAACTGCATYTTTTTTYCCTCAAGAATTTGACTCTCCTGCTTCTGCTTGCGATATAAATGCTGCATCATCGAAATAGGAAATGAAGCGTTATGGTGCGACCTCTCAAACTTGATTTTCTGAGAATTTTGTCGTTCAACTCGCTCATGGTTGCGCTGACGTTTGAAGTATTGTGTATGAAAGTTCGGAGCGGAAATGCTTCCCTGGGCCAAGTGATGCTTCTCCTGCTGTAGTGACGACGCGTTACGCTTCAATGAGAATGATTTGATCGATGACGCATTTGTCTGCTTGCTGTCAGTTGAGGACGTTGAAAGAGTACAGCCAATCTCTACTCGAAGGGCGGCGTCGAGGCCCTGTTTCAGGCCTTGTTGATAGCAATGTTGGTGGCCTGCAGTGTTGTAAATAGACATATGGTCCTTATTCGATGAAAGGGACTTCTGTTGGGGTTGGCGCTCTTGATTTTGTCCCATCTGGAATTGGATTTCTACTTGTGACGGTTTTGTCATGGGTGCAGTAGGAGGYTGGAATCCCGAGATTGCCTTTATTGTTGAAGGTTGGACACCAATCACACTCTTGGTTTTGTATTGGGAAGTAGAGTTACGTAGAGACGAAGGAATGGCCTCGCTAATGCTGTTCTCRGCTTTGATGCTGCCTATCCTGGTTGGAATGATGACATCGCTCGATGATTTGACAGGCGTCTTAGACTTCAACGATTCYTTCAGTGTCTTCGGTGACTTCCTCTTCATTTTCACGGTTTCGGATTTTCTTCCACGCACAAAGAGGGGATGCGAAACCTCACCCTTGTTAATTCCGTGCGTGACGCGATTAAAGTTGTATCCTTGGAGCTGCCTTAGTAGACTCTTGTATTTTGTCTGTCGAAAGTATGTTTTGAGAATAGGAACCATTTTCTCTGAATCGTGAATTTTGAAAGCTTTTCCGTCTTGGGTCCACGACACAACTTTGCTATGACCCTTTGCCTCTGCCTCATCCAACATATCATGAAGTCGTGACGGGAAGTGATTAGTAGTGTTCAATTTTCCGCCCATGGTAATGAAGTTGAGTGTGTTCCAGTCTATCTGTTTGTATCCCGATGGAGCAGGACGAATTCTCGTGAACACTAAGTTAGACCCTCTAGAATAAGGACGATTTACAGCAAGAAGAGTAGCTATTGACCTCGATTGCAATAGATTGTTGACAGTTAATCTTTTTGTGTTCGATAAYAACTGCAAATTCCGTGTGACTTGGATGCGCGTGGGAAAWKAAAAAAAACGATTTTGTGAGAAACTGCACGAGAATTAACAGGTAGAAATGGCAGAATAAGGGATGTTTGGATAGTTTTCATATTATCGATGCTTTWCAAGCCGAAKAAGTACCACAAAGTGTTCATCGCATTCAATAATTGCTTCCGACGATCGAYGTGCGGGATATATTGCCCTTCTAAACATAATTAAATCTTTYTCAGTCGCATCGTACGGCTGTAGATTCATAATTGAAMCAATTACATTAAATATTATGTTATAAACATTAATTGATTTTATAGTAATTTAAAGCCATGAAATGCGTGAATGACACGTATTAAAAACTAATCAATYRTCGTTCTATTCAYGGACTTGAATTATTCTTTTTGGTATATAAGGAACACAGCAAACATCGATGAAAAACTAATTAACAAAAACATATCGACGGAGCTGATATTTTTCTCTTTAGCGTGATTACATGTTGAATACGTTTACACTTATTATTTTGACACATGTCACATATTCTTCTTCCCAAGATGAAAAATTCCGGTCATTTCACCATACTTGACGATTCTACTTTGACCGGAGTATCAATTAAAAGTGAATTTTTAAGCGAGAAAATCTCTTCTTAACGCCGACAAAGCGTATTATTTCGAAAGAATGGTAATTAATATATKTACTCATCATTTTACGAGATCCTTAAGTATCGGATTCAGAAGAAGCTTTTCTCGAAATATTTAATATGCAAATCTTTTGTTTTTCCAGTTCAATAAGAAACAACGCTGTATCTTCGTCTCATAAGGCAATCAAATAGCTTATTGAAGCAGGGTGACTGGCGTATGATTTTTTAATCATTTTTTCTTGCAATTATCACACCCGGTGGGTTTTGATCTCATGGCGTTTGATATGTCGTCCACTGCCATTTTGTCCTTGATAAAAAT